ACTGTGGATCTGCTCCTGTTGTGTTCTTCATGCCAGAACGATGTCTCTGTTAGAGCCCCTGATCACCGGGGCTGCTCCATTGACCTGGCAGAGGGTTCACAGCCTGGTCCTGTGCCCTGTGCTCCCCATGCAGTGCTGCTGGGACCCTCCTGCTCCCTGGCAGAAGTCCCCAGGAATGACAAAATACCAGGGAAAGCATTAAAGGCTGGGCAATCACCCTTTGCTGAGGGTGGGTGAGAAAGGCGGCGCTGCAGGGCAGCAGCGCTGAGGGGAGGGAGCCGGCTCGCAGCTGAAGCGAAGGCACACGAGAGGGAGGATGTGGGCAGGGCAGGGATACCCTCCGCAGAGCATCTGCCAGCAGCCACCGAGCCGCTTGGCAAGCGCTGCCTGCTCTTCCAGTCGGGAAACAGAAATAATTACAGCCTCTGTGCAACCCAGCAATTATCCAATGCTGGCTTTTGCACGCAAGGACTGAGCAGGGGGAGCTGCTGGCGCTGTCAGGGAGCGGGGCAGGCACCAGAGGGACAAACCAGGGGGGCAGAACCAGGTGGGGAGCAAGGGGAGGAAGGGAACAGGGACGTGGATAAATCCTGGGGCTCTGCAAGGAAGGAGCAGGAAGGTGCCCCAGCTGTGAGGCCATGGAAAGGGAGCAGGTGCTGCCATGGAGAGGGAGAAGGTGCTGTCATGGAGAGGGAGAAGGTGCTGCCATGGAGAGGGAGAAGGTGCTGCCATGGAGAGGGAGCAGGTGCTGCCATGGAAAGGGAGCAGGTGCTGCCATGGAGAGGGAGAAGGTGCTGCCATGGAGAGGGAGAAGGTGCTGCCATGGAAAGGGAGAAGGTGCTGCCATGGAGAGGGAGAAGGTGCTGCCATGGAGAGGGAGAAGGTGCTGCCATGGAGGGGGAGCAGGTGCTGCCATGGAAAGGGAGAAGGTGCAGCCATGGAGGGGGAGAAGGTGCTGCCATGGGGAGGGAGAAGGTGCTGCCATGGAAAGGGAGAAGGTGCTGCCATGGAAAGGGAGAAGGTGCTGCCATGGAGAGGGAGAAGGTGCTGCCATGGAGGGGGAGCAGGTGCTGCCATGGAAAGGGAGAAGGTGCAGCCATGGAGGGGGAGAAGGTGCTGCCATGGGGAGGGAGAAGGTGCTGCCATGGAAAGGGAGAAGGTGCTGCCATGGAAAGGGAGAAGGTGCTGCCATGGAGAGGGAGAAGGTGCTGCCATAGAGAGGGAGAAGGTGCTGCCATGGAGAGGGAGAAGGTGCTGCCATGGAAAGGGAGAAGGTGCTGCCATGGAAAGGGAGAAGGTGCTGCCATGGAAAGGGAGAAGGTGCTGCCATGGAAAGGGAGAAGGTGCTGCCATGGAGAGGGAGAAGGTGCTGCCATGGAGGGGGAGAAGGTGCTGCCATGGAAAGGGAGAAGGTGCTGCCATGGAGAGGGAGAAGGTGCTGCCATGGAGGGGGAGAAGGTGCTGCCATGGAAAGGGAGCAGGTGCTGCCATGGAGAGGGAGAAGGTGCTGCCATGGAGGGGGAGCAGGTGCTGCCATGGAGAGGGAGAAGGTGCTGCCATGGAGGGGGAGAAGGTGCTGCCATGGAGAGGGAGAAGGTGCTGCCATGGAGGGGGAGAAGGTGCTGCCATGGACAGGGAGAAGGTGCTGCCATGGAGGGGGAGAAGGTGCTGCCATGGAAAGGGAGAAGGTGCTGCCATGGAGGGGGAGAAGGTGCTGCCATGGAGAGGGAGAAGGCGCTGCCATGGAGAGGGAGAAGGTGCTGCCATGGACAGGGAGCAGGTGCTGCCATGGAGAGGGAGAAGGTGCTGCCATGGAGAGGGGCGAAGGTGCTGATGAAGCCACTGGAGCTGCTGGGGGCTCTGAGATCCACAGCAAGGCTCAAGGACCCAGTGAGCAACCAGGGGCTGCAGCAGCACTGGGGCTTTTCCCCTGTGGGCAACCACCTGCACTGCACACCTGGGTCTCTGCACAGCTCTCTGGGAGAGAGCCCGATGAGAAAAAAACAAATAAAAGTAACCAAAACAAATAAAATTAACCAAAATCTCCTGCTGGCAAGGAGAACTGTGTGAAATAGGGCTGGGATTGGTGTGCTTTAACATGGTGCCATGGTGGCTGTGAGACCCATCTCAGCACGTCATGGTGGCCCCAGCATTCAGCCCCTAAACTCAGCCCCAGCCCTAAAACTCAGCCCCAGCCCCAAAACTCAGCCCCAGCCCCCAGCCCCAAAGCCCAGCCCCAACCCCAGCCCTCAAACTCAGCCCCAGGCCTAAAACTCAGCCCCAACCCCAGCCCCCAGCCCCAAAACTCAAGCCCCAGCCCTAAAACTCAGCCCCAACCCATGCCCCCAGCCCCAGCCCCCTGCCCAGCTCTCTGCCACTCCAGGCTCGTGCGCTTTGGGACTGAGTGGTCCCGGGGGCCCTTCCCACCAAACCCTGCTGTGGTTCTGCCAGCAGAACCCTCGGGGTGCTGAGCAGAACCCAGGGCGAGGACCCAGGCCGAGCTCCCACGCCGAGCTCCTTGGCTTGCTGCAGACGCAGTGGAAAGAAACCAAGTTCTGCCTCGTCAGCCTAATTATTAATAATTAGTAGAGCTCTCGAGGCGCTGAAAGGGAAAACGCAACATATGAGGGGGAAAAAAGGGAAGAAAGTGCTCTGTTTTTCCTCACAAGCAGAGCGAGGGCCTTTGTGGTGCTCCAGGCCATGCCTCAGCCCCCAGCTGAGCCAGGATCCCACAGGATCCCAGGGGATGGGAGAGAGGCCGGCCAAGAGTAGGGACTCTGCCCCTGTGCCCCTGGGCTCAGGTGAGAGCCCACCTGCAGAGCTGCCCCAGCCCTGGCTCCAGCAGCACAAGGAGCTGGAGCTGCTGCAGCCAGTGCAGAGGAGGCCACGGAGCTGCTGCCAGGGCTGGAGCCCCTCTGCTCTGGAGCCAGCCTGGCACAGCTGGGGCTGCTCAGCTGCACAAGAGAAGGCTCCAGGGACACCTCAGAGCCCCTGCCAGGGCCTCCAGGGGCTCCAGCAGAGCTGCCCAGGGACTGGGGACAAGGCCTGCAGGGACAGCAGCCAGGCAATGGCTCCCAGTGCCAGAGGGCAGGCACAGATTTTGGGCTCTTGGCAATTAGGAATTGCTGGCTGGGAGGGTGGGCAGGCCCTGCCCAGGGTGCCCAGAGCAGCTGTGGCTGCCCCTGGATCCCTGGCAGTGCCCAAGGCCAGGCTGGATGGGGCTTGGAGCAGCCTGGGACAGTGGAAGGTGTCCCTGCCCATGGCAGGAAGTGGGATGGGATGACCCTAAAGTCCCTTCCCACCCAACCTAGGACTCAGTGATGACCTCTGCCTGCATCAGTTCTTATCTCTTCTTCCTCCCCCTGAGACTGCAGCAAACCCCTCGGACCAGGCAGAGCAGCCCCCCAGGGAAGGCCACAGCGGTGGTTTCCCTGCTCTTCCCCATTCTCCAGACCACACCTGGCTCCTGACAGTCCCCAGCAGCCCCAGGGAAATGTCACCAGCAGCCCCATCTCTGCTGTGCGGCCCTGGCTGCTCTAATGAACAAGTGTTAATTTCCTAATGAGCGCTGCTGCCGCTCCCAGTGTAGCACAGGGAAGGTGCTCAGCGGCTGTGGAGCTGCAGAGCAGAGCCCAGCAGCTGTCAGGCTGCTCAGCCCAGCTCTGGTATCCACCCAGGGAGCCAAATCCAGCAGGAGCCTCAGGGGAGCTGCAGCAGGGCAGGGCCAGCAGCTCCTGCAGCACAGCGGGCAGGGAGACAGCACTGACAGAGCCTGGGAGCACCAGAGGGATGTGCAGGGAGCAAACCCACCCTGGTGACACCAACCCAGCCTGCTCACAAACTCAGCCTGCTGACACCAACCCAGCCTGCTGACACCAACCCAGCCTGCTCACCAACCCAGCCTACTCACAAACCCAGCTGCTCTGTGTGCTCCACAGGGACAGCAGAACACAGGGACACCAGCTACAGGGATCAAACCCACATTGCTCACACCAACCCAGCCTGCTCTGTGTGTGCCCCAGAGGGACAGCAGAACACAGGGACACCAGGGATCAAACCCATCCTGCTGACACAGGGAGGCACCCAGCCTGTTCTCTGTGCTCCAGAGGGACAGCAGAACAAGGGGACACCAGGGACCAAACCCAGCCTGGTCTGTGTGTGCTCCACAGGGACAGCAGAACAAGGGGACACCAGCCGCAGGGATCAAACCCAGCCTGCTCTGTGTGTGCCCCAGAGGGACAGCAGAACAC